TTTTAAAGCCCTGACAGATGTCACCAATGCTGACAACACTGACAAGACAAGTGACAGCACAGGTGAGAAAAAGTCTCTCTTGACACATTTTCATGTCATTCAAACTCTTAAGAAAGAAAGTCAATTTAGTCAGTATCACTTTTGTGACTCTGAGAAACTGCACTGAGAAGAGATGTCTCGTAACCAAGTCTGTTTAGGTTGCAAAGTCAATCTACTGCCCATAATGAGCGATTCTCACATTATCTGTTGTCGACCACTGCTTTATATTCTGTATAAAAAGCTTCTTCTTCAGTTCATTAAATCCCTGCAGCCATCTGAAGGCAGCAGGACAGCTGTGTTTATAAATCTGATTTGACAAGTACCAGAGCAATGCCATTACACACATTCATCCACTGTGTTTACCTTTATTAAATTACATGCTACAAAATAACAGCACACACCTCTGGACATATCAGCCAGGTCCGTTAAAACCTGTAATTCTGCCTGTTTATGTGGGAGACATCAGATTACTGAAGTGTCTTTTCATTTGTTGAGCCATTGTTGTCATGCGTCACTGTGATTGGCACAGCTGTTTCAGAGCGACTTACTGAGTGTATTCATTAATCACCACACCACACCATTTATGTGCCACATCAGCCAGTCCTTTTGCACTTTGCACTGTAGCACCAAAATAGCAGGTGCGCTTGGAGACGCCCACACATTTTGTGCACCTAAAGCCTACCACTTTGTGCTTGGAGTTGCAAGATTAAAATAGGGCCCTAAGAGACCGAAAAAGAACATTAACTTTAACTTTAAGGGGCACTTAAAGAATTACAGACTAAACTATTGTGAAGAAATCACATGGACTGTAATTGGACATGGACAGCATCTGTCAGGTTTAATGAGAGATACAGTACTTGTTCCACTCTTCTCATCCGCCTCTCAGTGCCATTATATGCGAAAGCAGGAGTTCACTGTCTGTGCAAATGAAGGCAATAAGAAGATGAAGAAGATGCTAACTTGGGTATTGCCTTGTTTTCACCTAAAACAGCATCAAAGTGACAGCCTGTGTACACAAAAGCTTATAAAAAGACATTTTAATTGGAAAAATTAGCTTTTCAGAGTTGGAGTAAGAAATGTTTTTAGCCACTAGGCAACCAACTGGTCTCTGAGGTGAAGTGTACCACGGTTGCACATCTGAGTTTTTGGTGCAGATTTGCTCAATTGTTGTATGTTAAACTATATAATTATTTATCTCTCTGTTTTTTTATAAATGGCAAAAGGAGAAGTACATCAATAAATCCATGTACAGTACAACACGTTCTTTTGTGCATTTTACAGTGAAAAACAGATTTCTCCATTTTGTTTCCTTGTATGGAATACACTGGTAGCATTAGATATATGTAGTGTACTACAGTAGTACTGGGTGATGGACAAGCAAATGGTCCTAATATAATCTTCTGTAAAGTGCTGGTGGTATGTCATATTACCTGGTACGGCATCATGTGTGAACCGTATCTGCCTCCATTACAGCAGATAAACTCTGGATGAATCCTATTTCACACTGCCGTGGACGAGTTTCAGGGAATACTTATTATGTTGTCAGTGGTATCCTTTTAGAGGAGAGTGTGGCCGGGATGAGTTGTCCCATCGATGTTCAAATCAGCTTTCTTTTCTTGCTAATGTGGACAAGCCCATTTTAGTGGATACTTATTATGCTGTCAGTGTTTTCTTTAGAGAACAGCTCCACTGGGTTGAGTCGTTCCAGTTCTTTTCAGATGAGCCCCGCTCTTAAAGCTGGGGTGTTGCTGTTTACATAATCCTGGTCTTACATACGGCTTCATTAGTGGCAGCATCAGGTGTCCTTTGAAGTCTGCCATTAAAATGGTCCACTGTTGTGCAGTAGTGAGATCAGTGCTTTGGATCTATGAACACATACTGTACACTGCTGGATGTCAGGACACAGTTACCACAGAATTGCAATTCATCACATTTCTTTGTCACTCTTTTAAGGTATCTACCTATCTTCTGTCTTTTGCTTTCACTCTCTATGAGTGCTCCGTGGTCTATATATCTTTTACATGGAGGATGGCTTCACAGGTTTCTACTTTGATCATGAAGAAAAAAGTCCATCTTTATTATCTCCTGTCCGCTCCAGACTGTGTTTGGATAATAAGTAGATAGTAGATAGTGTTTCAAAGGGATGGAGAAAAGAGAGTCACAACTCAGTCTTCTATTTCATCCACCTCATTAAAACTGTTTTCCCATAGAGCATTGTTTTTGTTTTCACTGATATTGTGTCGTTTTTTGTTTTCAAGGCAACGCTTGTCAGAGATGTCTTTTGCTACTTGTTTAAGCCGCAAGATATGTGTAACTTCCTCTATGCTGACAACTGTTTATTAAAAGTTGGGGGGGGGGATGTGACTTGATAATTAAAGGTTTCTTCAGGGACAGAGTTAGTCTTTATAATATAATTTTGTTCTAAAATCTACAGTTTCAAAATTATCCTACTACAAATTTATAAAACAAAAAAAGATTAAATATATGGTGGATGTGTTGATATCAGGTGAAATCTTTTAGTTTTTATACTGTATACAACTCTATAATGATGCTAACCCTTGTGATAATCTTCCGTAAAGCGGATTTAAAGTTCACAGGCATTTCTGCGCTACCCTCAGCATGTTCACAGCCACTCAAACTGTTAAGATGAGTCATGCATATTTAACATAAAACCAAGGAGATTCAGTAGCAATTTGTATTTACTTTCATTCAGCATCTCATAATGAGCCTTAGCCAGCTATTGTGTAATGGGATTGTTTCAGAGAGCTTGCCCACATCAAAGACCAGTTGGTTGGAGGAAGTTCACAGTTAAATTTCTTTTCTTCGTAAGGAAGAATTTGAAGAGGTGTGTTTGTGCTAAAACAATGTTTCTGTGATTTTTCAGTGTGCTGACAACCTGATACCAACAACTATGTCGAGCTTTTTTAAAATTTATTTTGAGGTGTTTTCCTCACCTGCAGAGTGAAGAAAATGTGTCGTAAATGAAGCAAAAATAAAGATGATCAGCAGCAATATCACCAGGGAAGGCTTCCTGCACACATTCTTTGCAACACCTCCGGTTTTCCAGCTATGAAACTGTTCCTTCAATCAACCTTTACATGCCTTTACAAGACAGTTCAGGCTGTCTATGAGTAGGTACATCTTGCATTTCTGGGAGCATTTTGGCCAACAATTTTTCAGCTATCTAAATTGCTAATCAGGTATTAGAGGAAGGCTCTTTTCCAGGAGGCAGATTATCATTTTCTGAAAACATGTTGTGCTGCATATAAATAATACAAAGCTCAATTTTTTCTCAACTGGAAAATCTACTGTGGGTATATGTCTCCTAAGTATTAAACCAACTGCTCAATGAGACAAGTTGACACATGCAGTTGTTCTTGAGAGGGTTTCCTGGAAATCACCAAGTGAAATAGAAAAAGGTGAGGCAGACTCTGGCTATAAGAAAGCAAATATTCACCCACAAAGAGTACACTGAACTCTGCAGATTTGTGATTACACAGCTCTATGAGGATAGTTTCTATTATATGTTACGTGCATGCATATGAACAATTTATAATGATCTTTTAACTTATTAGATTTACTTTACCCTGTATTAATTGAAAGGCACTTAATCAGCTTCTTAAGTGATATGGGTTATGTATTTGATATATATGAGCACAAACATTTTTGGGTTATTTAAAATGAAAGATTTCTGTGTTTTCTGCGCTCTTCTCGCTGGATAGGGTGAGTTGGAAAAGGTTGATGCTGCACTCACGCAGTGTGGGCAGAATGCGAAAACCTACCATTATTCCGACTTGTTCACACATTATACATAGCCGCAAACTGTGGAATTTTAAAATTATGACCCCATAATACCAATACCATGCTTTCAAAATGGCATGTCACGCTTTTCCACTTTCTGTGCACAGGAATTTCCCTACAACAACAATACATAAGTTTGTTATCAAGTGAAACTGAATAGAAACAAACAGTATAAGGCTCCTATTAAACTGAATTGATTCCCTTAGCACGGATATTTGATTTTATTTAGATTTAACTGTCAGCAATAGAGGCTTTGCGGCCAAGTTGCCAGCGATTTGTTAACACTTCTGTAGTTCTTTTCACTAAGAAGGAGATATTGTAGCTGTCAGAAATTCCTGATATCTCCAACTTGTAATTACAACTTGGAGGCTGACATGAAGGTTTTTTCTGACTTGGCTGCTTGAACATAACGGTCTGATTGATATGACACGAACATGGTATTTTGTTGCCAGAGAGATACCACTGTCAATCAAATCTGATCAACCCAAAACCACACAGTCCTGATTAACAGATTAGCTGAGAATTAATAAATGTATTATAACTTAACTTAATTAGTCATGCATATTTAAAAATATGGAGAAAATACAAAAGGTTTAGGGGTTAATGTAGAGGTGGAGGGTCCTCTTCTACGGAGTCCGCCAGGTTGAACCGCTGTTTCTACGGTAGCCCAGATAGGGCCTTTTATGTGTTTCGTAGCACCGTAGTTCCTACAGGCTAGGAAGGTGAGGGTGATGTGACGGGATTGCAATCAGCAACTACACTGCATGATGTTCTCTAAATCTACACATTGGTTCTTTAAACCAAGATTTCAAGGGCTTTTTATATATTGGCAATATCCTTTAAAAATGTATGGTAGGTTGGCATAATCTTGAACTCATTTCAGAGTTACACAGACACAAAACATGATGGAATTGTACAATAGAAGATGAATAAGATGCATATAATAGTATTACAGACACTATGCTTGTATGTCCCTACTGAATTTAGGGAAAACATATATAAAAATACACCCTTGTATAGCCTACAGGGTTTCTGCTTCACGGGAAGGAGAATGACAGACTTCATGTGTTCACTCACGCTGACATAATTTTCCTCTCAGCTGTCAGTCATCCCGTCCTGCAGACCCCGCCCCCCTACGGAAATACAGGAGGTTGCCCGACACGTGATTAAGTCAGAATGGCGGAGCTGTTTGGCTGAATGATTTTTTTTTTTTTTTTTTACAGCACCGACGGGTCCTAAAACCCTTGCTGCTCTGTGGATGCTCCTGGAGACTGGCAGAGAACCAGCCATTTGCGCCCAAGGGTGCTCAATTCAGGTAGTGTTTCTTTTCTCTCTTGGTTAAACACAACTCAAACACAGTCCTCTGTTAGGCTTGAACGAGTAGAGAGAACCATCACTCCAAAAAAAGAAGAAAAAAAATGTTTGTCTTGTTGTAGGTCTGCGCTTTTTCCTCCTCGGAGTCAAACTCAGTTGCTCTTACTCTGATATACTTGACTTTTTTTCCTGCGAGTTTGTGTCGTATTTTTGCGGGACAGTGTAAGTGTTGCGCAATACAGGCATTGTTGAGTATTACCATTTCGGAGTGGATTTAAAAACTGTCGACTGTACGTGTTGTGCAACATTGTTACTCCGCCACTTTTAGCTGCTCCTTTTTAAATCCGACTTTTAATCTCGCTGCTCGCTACATTGTTTCTGTAACACGCTGTCATGTCGGAAAAAGTGTCTCTTACGGACGGTCCGTGTTTTTATTCCAGTTACTTTTCAAACTTGCCCTGGTGTGGAGTTGTGCTGCAGCACGGCACCATACGTTGACACAGCGGTTTCCTTCCAAGTGTGAGGTTACTGTAAAGAGTTACCAGATGTAGTGGGGAATTTTGTCACCCAGTTAAAGTTGTTTGTGTACCAGAAAAGGACGTCCCCGAGTTGAGAGGAACTGTATATTAGTGCGGTAAAAAAAAAAACTTCTAATAGTATAGTGTCAGCTCTGCTCAAAACTATCGTCCAAACAAATGTTTCTTCAGATAAATGAGCCAGTACTCTGTGTGTGTGTGTGTGTGTGTGTGTGTGAGTGAGTAGAGAGAGAGAGGAGAAAGCTGTATGATGGAGGTTTCTGCTGGGGTTGAACCGCCGCTGCCACAGCTTTGGGTGTAAACGTGTGTCTTCATGGAGTGTAAACACAAGAGAGCAGCAGCAGGACGACGCTGAAGTTAGCTTCCTGCAGGTTTAAAGGAGGGGGGCAAAGGGTGTCAGACATCCTAGTTAAGGCTTTTATTTAATATAGGCATACATGAAAGCAAAAAAAAACACACAGACTTTTCTCCATCCTGACAACAATAAACCAGATTTAGCTTAGACATTGTTACGTTTACACTTGTCAGACCTGATTCACATTCAGACACCAGTAACTGTTTGAATCACAGTTTCACACTGGGGGGGTCTTAAGCTTCACTTGTGATTTGTGATTGAAACCCAGCCTCATATGGGCTACAAAGGGAGACATATCAGTGGAATATGTGATTTCACAAGTAGAATAAAGGTTTCACAAATCAATTGACAATTGGAAATGTAGGGGTTTTTTTTGAGCCAAACCTTGTCTGTTGTTGATTGGACAGAGATTGATGAGTTAAAACAGAATTAAGGCTTGCACTAGGATGTCTGACTAATAAGTGGTGCGAAACTCAAAGAATCAGTTGCTCAATATTATCATTTAAGTTTCACTTAACTTCCCCCTTTAACTTCTTAATCGGAAGCTGTGATTTGGGAGTTAACGCCAGCAGCGATATACCAGCAGGGCTGTGTCGCTGCTCTGCTTTGAATCCTTTAAGCATTCACTAGCGGAAACTATTCCCTCAGCACTACCAGCTCTGGAGGACTGCTGGTCGTAAACTCGAGGCCCCACAGGAACAAGGTCACTGCAGCCCTCTTAAAAAAAAAAAAAAAAAAAACTGGCTCAGAGTGCTTCTCTGTAAGGATGACACTGCTGAGGGAAGAGCTCAGATTGGAGCAGAAATGAAGCAGGATCTTCTTTGTTGATGTTTACTTTTCTTTTGAGCCGAGCATCTCTTTGCACATTTGGCAGTTCCTTTACTTGCTGTAGGCAGCTACTGTATGTTTTAGCCATTTAGCTGCTAACTTTATATTGGGTTACCGTTAGTGAGGAGGGAGGGATTCAGAGAGTCCATACAAACTGGTTTAGTTTGTCTGACTATAGCTTCAAAAAGTCCTGGAACCTGTGAAATGTTGAATCTGGTTACATTTAGTTGATTGATGATGACGTACAGTAGATTATAATAGTAGGCTCTAATTATTTACCGTTCACATAGGGGTTAGGTCCATTAGAATCAGGATTCACGGTTCGGTATGTACCTCGATTTTGGGATCAACGATTGGTACATTTTTTGGTATAACAGGGAAAATACAATTTTTGTCATTTATTTTGAAAATTGTAAACATTCAATCATGGCTCATCTACAACACAAATGTCAGTAATGCCCTCTCCTTCCTGAACAACTGCAGCTTGCATTTGTTTATACAGGGCAGGCACAACGGACTGACTAAAGTACACACATGAACCCACATTGTAGTCAATCCTGTACTGAAACCATAATTGCAATGTGAAACCAAAACTAACTGGATCAAATGTAAAAATGCAAACCCGGGTGTGAAGTGAGAAGGCCATAAATGTCATGGGAGGATCCTCCCTTCAGACTGATTAACCGGGCTAAGCTGATTAGCACTCTACAGCTGATAGACAACAACTGGTGAGCTGCCAAAACATTTTAAAACTCACACTCTAAAGCTTCTGTTCCGCGAGTTCATGTCGTAGAAAAAAATGTTTTGATGGTATCTGTTTGGGTTACACGGCGTACTGAACCAAGGAAGTTGCATACCAAACCGAATGTCAAACCCCAAGCAGTTCAGGATGGAAACACGGTACACCTCTTAGTTCACATGGGGAAATCATTTATAGAGGAATAAGGGATGATGGTCTTTTCTCTGTCGGTGGTTCAATATGTTGCATCTTGAATAACCAGTGTGTGTGAGTTTTGTTTTCTTGCTTGTTTTCAAAGTCCTGCTGTGTCCCACACAGAGAAGTCACTTGACTTTGTGGTGTATAATGTGCATTCCAGGAGTTGTTTTGCTATTAATATGTTGTAAATCACGCTTTGTTTCCCGACTGCTGCTATTTATGGAATGCACAACATGTCTTGTGGCTGCACTACATTGTGGTCATTGTATGCTACTGACGGTGATAGTATGAACATACATATCTTTGCCTCTTTTAACTGATTTGTCTTTGTGTGATTGTCGAATATTTGTTCCAATTTGAGTTCCTTCCACTTTGATTTTGAGGAACTGACAGTAACCTGATATTTAAATTTCGTATTTTACACTGTTGGGAGAATTCTTACTAACACAAACTGCACACACCACATTTGTGTGAAAATGACACAGTTAAACAACAAAATGGATTTGGGGATCAAAGGTACTTAGACAGGTTTTTAATCGGTGTTAATGCATTTCATAGAAAACCTCTCTGTGACTTGAACACCAAACATTTTAAGTTTACATGTGTGTATGCATATTTGTTGCACATTAAGTGTTTACTAATTAAATTTTTGTGCGATTGTGTTGCACAAACATAATTGAAGACAGTAGATGGATGCCTGCAATGTCCAAATCTGATTAACTGTGCTATAGAACATAGTTTCCCCTCATTGCTTTGCAGCATTAAAGTGTATGTGCACATCACTAAATGTGTGCTTCTTCCATCATATTTTACTCCTTCATTATGTCTTTTTTTTTTTTTTTGGAACGTTGTTGAAGGCCTACAGATATACGGTATATATCTATATTATAAGATTTAAAGCGATGATCCAAAATGTATGTTTTTCGAAGAGTATTGTCCAGGCTTTTTAGACAGTGTAGACAGTAAATGTGTTTGAAACAAAGGTCTCAACTATAATCGGACAGCTGAGGTTGCGGTTACAACTGAAACCACAACACTGGAATAAATGACAACAGAGTGAATTCAAACTGACCGTTGCTGCTGTGCTTCATCATTGAGGAAAACTTTTGAAAGCCGCCCCAGTCTGCAGATTGTGTGAGTGTTTGACATACAAAAGATACTTTATGAAAGGCATAATGAATTAGTGTTGGTTTTTCTTTTACCATGTATAAAATAATAGTTTGTTCTACAATTTTGAAATCTTCAAGCAAAGCCACATGCATATTGATATTGAGGTAATAATTAGGATATTTGATTGCCAATGGCGTATTGCTGTTTTACTTCTTCACTTGTAAGTTATAAAACAGATTAGGATACTTAGGGAAAAGCATGATTAATGATGGCAATCATTCAGCTTTTTGCTTTTCTATGCTCTCTGAATTGAATCTAGCCCATTAGGCTCATGGGCCAACTCGTACATCACTACCACACCAAAGTTTTGGAGCATCTAATCCTTGTTCTTTACTTGCCCCCAAGTTTTTCCTCTTGTAATTGCATTAATGAGCTAATTTAACTCAGTGCCATTGTGCTTTGTCAGGGCCCGGGCCTGACTTTCCAACTTCCTCCCATCATTTAGCACCAGCTGGCACTGGGAAAGCTTGCTTGTTTGTGGACATTTTGTGGATGTTGTCACGCTAATGGATACTAATGGAGTCTATTAATGCCACTGTTGTGCTCAGGGACAAATAAGGTGACAGGACCCTGTAAAGCACAGACACGTTCACACAGCAGGAATTTGTTAGCTGCTTGGCGGGGTCTTCCCTTCAACCCCACTGTGATTCAGCATATTATCGAACCTTTGTTCTCGGTCCCCTTCCATTTGTTCGTCTATCTCTCCATTACATGCAGTGTTTGAGATGCCACTAATACAGTTTGAACACAACTTGGAGGGGGAAATGATTGTTTTGCCACATTAGCAAACTTTTCATTTTTGGACAACATAAAACACCAAGGTCACTGAAATCAATCACACAGTCACTTTGCTTTTTTCTCATTAGGCTTACTGTTGTGCAGCTTCATAAAAGAAAGGAAGCTGGATATTGGCCAGTGGGCCAGAGAAGCAGTAAAAGTAGACAAGAGGAAGATTCAAAGCAGTAAAAGGGTTCATGGTTGCGAATCATTCTCCCAGATTCAGTCCCTTATACCCTGTTGCGCCTCACAACTCCAATAATAGTTGTGACTCCTTTGTGCTTCGCCAGGTCCTTGTCCTGACTTTGAACCCATCGTGTATCCCGAACTCAGTTAGCAAGTGTTGGAGAGGTAGACAGTTGGGAAAGTCCTCCTTGTTTGTGGACATGTTATGGATG